GGAACCCTTCTCCATTGTTGGTGGGAATGCAGACTGGTACAACCACTATGGAAATCAATATGGAGATACCTCAAAGAGCTTGGACTAGAGGTTCCATTTGACCCAGCTATCCCTCTGATGGGTATCTTTCCAAAAGAATTAAAAGAAATATACCACAGTGATATATGTGCACCAATGTTTATAGCAGCACAGTTTGTACAGCTTGGAAACAGCCTATTTGCCCATCTGTTGGAAAATGAGATGTGGCTTGTCTATAAAATGGAATACTACTCAGCCATAAAGAATGAGAAATTAGAGTCATTCATAGGAAAATGGATACATATTGAGGATATACTCTTAAGTGAAATAAATAAGTCACATATGTGTAAATACCAAATAGTCTCTCTGGTGTGAAAAACTATAATAGTACACAAGATCCTAATGGGATAACTAATAGTGTGAAATAGGAAGAAAAGGGCTAAAGGTGTAGGGAAAGTGGGAAGGGTAAGGGAAAGGGAACAAGGGAAAAGAAAAAAGTATGAGAAAATGAAAAAATGGAAATAAAGTGTTTGTAAATGGGGAGGGGAGGAGGAGGAGAAGGGAGGGCAGGGACAAGGGGAAAAAATGAGACCCAAGACCTGTCATGTGAAGGTACAGGATCCCAGTAATGAATGTAACTGTATTGTAGACCTAGATTGTACCAATAAACTCAATAAAAAGAAAAAAAAAGATAAGCATGTACTTGGTAACATGACATTAAAGACATAAGAAATGTGTTACTCAATTTTTACTGTTTATAACTAAGATGCATACAATCTAGTTGATTATGAATAGTTACATGCCTAAGAATCAAAGAAAATATTTGTAGAAAAGAGGTTATCATAATTAAAATTAGATCAAGGTGGCCTAGTGGTACTACCCTATAATCCCTGTACTCTGGTTGGCTGAAGCGGAAGATTATAGGAAATTTAGTGACTTAGTGAGACAGTGTCTCAAAAACAAAAATAAACAGGCTGTGTAGCTTCAGTGAAAGCGCCCTGGGTCCACCCCCAATATCCTCCCCATTGTAGAAGTTTACCATACATACAAAAGAACAGCTGGCAAACTGGGAGACTTGAACCCAAACTTGTGAGGAAGGCTGCTCAAAACAGCAACAGTGCCCTTTTTAAAACATAAAGAAGTATCCTATCCTCTGTTACTGCTTGTTATATACTAACATTCTTGTTAAGGCAAGAAGAATAGTTCAAGCTTATTAATCTATAGCTGATTACAGCTATATGATATAGCTTCATGGCACCATACTGACAAGGGCACAAAGCTTTTCTTTTGTGTGTCAGTTACTATAGCTGGAATTTGGGGGAAATTGAGATTACTTTAGTTTTGGCAGTGAGCCTATGAGTGGTGGGCCCTGGGCAAATCAAAACTGTGGCCCCATTTTTCTCTGTAATATTCACTATTCAATAGAGAATACTGATTTCAGACTATCTATGGGGAGAGATTTGTCATATAGAATGCTTGTTTTGTTGTACAATAAATTTACATGTAATACATGACTTGCAAGCAGCACAGCTTATAGTTTTTGTTTTTTGATTTTTTGAGACAGGGTCTCACTATGTAGTTGAGGCTAACCTGAAACTCACTATGTAGCCTAGGCTGGTCTTGAACTCACAGCGATCCTCCTGCCTCAGCCTCCCTAGTGCTGGGATTACAAGCGTGAGCCACCACGCCCAGCTACAGCTTATAGTTTTGATTAGCTACAACAGTGACAGTTAGGGTTTTCTGAATAGCATTTAAAACCTCAAATATTTCTACTTCTCTATCATCTTTTCTAACAAGACAATCCCACTTCTCAAAAAATAGTAACACACTAAAGAGAACATGATGTTAACTTCTGAAACTTTATTTTTTTAATACATACATTTCACAAACAGAAAGCCTCTAACCCCACACACAATTCCATAACCAAAAGTTTCAATTTATCAGCATTCTTCAACTATTTACACTGTCTTCCCTCAACAAAAGTGCAAGCCAAGACATCTTGATAAGAAATCTTTACCAACAACAATATTATTTTGAGCTGGTTTTAATGGTGCCGTCCATTTTGTTTTCTTTCCATCACCTGGATAACAATAAAGTCCATAGAACACAGAAATTAACTGGGTTACGCAGCATCCTATTTAAGAACCAAAACACTAAATGGCACTTTGTTCTCACCTCTTCTCCAACCTCCAACTAAAATTACTCAGGAGACTAAACAGAAAAGCAAACTGGGGTTGCTAACCTGGGCAACAAGAGAACAGACTGCATAGTTAAGCTCTGGTCTGGCAGTACTAAATGAAAATGTTTCAACATATTAGTTTTGTTAGTTTCATTTAAACACCTAATAATGTATTTTCTTGATGAGCTAAATTTTGCCACACAAATATGAACATTTATTTTATCCTGAAAATATTCTTATAAAAACTGAAATTTAAAGGATGTTTGGGGAAGCTCCTTTGTAAATGTAACAGGACAACTGAACCACCTCAATTTCATGGCACAATGTCTGTCTTTTAAGGTATAAACATAGTATATCCGTGCTTCAGATGTAACCCGAAGAAAGTGAAAGAACTGAGATGGCCTGGAGAAAAAGTAATCTATCATTAACTGTCTTCTCTCCACAGCAGGTAATTATATTTGTTCAAGGCATGGAACTCTTACATAAATGAGTATTGAAAATATTCTTATAAAAACTGAAATTTAAAGGATGTTTGGGGAAGCTCCTTTGTAAATGTAACAGGACAACTGAACCACCTCAATTTCATGGCACAATGTCTGTCTTTTAAGGTATAAACATAGTATATCCGTGCTTCAGATGTAACCCGAAGAAAGTGAAAGAACTGAGATGGCCTGGAGAAAAAGTAATCTATCATTAACTGTCTTCTCTCCACAGCAGGTAATTATATTTGTTCAAGGCATGGAACTCTTACAAATAAATGAGTAAAAAATGTTCAAGTAGATGAAAAAAATCAATAAAATTACTAGTTACTCTTAAAACTGCTCCATGTTACTGAACACTACTCATCAGAAAAACAGAAACTGAATCTCCTGGATGACTGATGTCCTTTAATACCCTAACTACAACAAAAACAATAATCTTTCTTGACAAATTCAAATTATGATCAAGGTGCTCAGGGAAAGCTTGGAGAAAATAGGAGGGTCAGCACTTTATCTTTATAGTGTTGCATATTTAATTGTATTTTATTCTCAAATCAGCCAAACTGTCCCTTTTAGGTAAAAATGTAATGCCTTAAAGTCAAAAGATTTTGAGTATATGAGTTCATGCCTCTTTTTACATAACTGCATACATCTATAGAATCTTCACTGTATCATCAAAATAACACCCAAAAGCAAATTTTACTCAATAATAGAAAAACCTCATCATACTTACTTTTCAAAGGGGTAGAAAGCAATCTAAGGAAAAAATATGGAACGCAGCATACATTAACCCCATGGTGGTTTTGCAATGAAGAACTTGCTGAATGCAATGTGTAAGTCAACTTTAAGCTTACAAACAATAAACAGGTTTCAACAGAAATATGTAGGTGGGATGAAGAACAGCATTACAAATATTTTACTAATATTAAATTTAGAAATAAAATACAAATGGTTCTCTGAAAACAAGAGAAACTTACCAATTTATAAAATTGGGTACGTAAGAGAATCAATAGGGAAACTGTTAATTCACAATTATAGCTCTGTGTATCAATGACAAACTTCCAAGGGCTACATTTTATAGACCTCTTGTAGCTGCATTAAAACACTGTCCGCCCAATAATGATTTCCTGTTTCACATAGGCATTCTGAGCTCCCCCTTCACTGTGGAATATTTTTCAGATCAAATACCAAATCAAGTGCAGCAAACCAAGCAACAATCACCCAAAGTGAAAGGTGAAGAATATTAGTTGATGCATTGTTTTTTCAATGCTATGTTGTTTCAAACCTAAAATATCTCACATAGTAAAAATGAACCTCAAGCACAGTAATGCCTAAAAGGAAAAGTCACACTGAGAAAAAAGTCATTAGCCAAATGAATAATATAAAATATTCACATCAATGACAAATATGGCTATTCAGAGAATGATTATTTTTAGTGATCTTTTAGCATATACCCATATCATACTTGAAACTATCAAACTCATTTGTGAAAATCTTATTCCAATTTGACAAAAGTATGGGGTATCAATGTATTAGTCTAATGATGACTATTTTAGAATGCTCAATCTTCTAAAGAAGTTCTGTGATTTTTTTCTTTTGCCAACAAAGTACCATGAGGATCTTGAAGATGACTGACTTTTCACAATACTCTTAAGCATTACAAGCGTGCTTTTCTAAAAGCACATACTTTAAAAAGAAATGCTCAAATTATTCTTTTTTTCATCTTTCTCTCAAACAATTCCTCGCTTTCCCTCCTAAGCTCAGCTCTGATTTTGGAAACTCAGTATCAAATGGGTTAGACGTGGCTATAAGGCATTATGGGGAAGCGAAGTGTGGCATGAGTAGTTCTGAAGCTCACCACGTAGGTTCTATGGCTGTGAGATTCACCTGTGGGAAGGAGCTGATACCAAACAGCACTTCCAAAGTGCAATCTGTAGACATCATCACCCCCAAATCACACTCTGCATGGATTCTCGAGAGCTATTCTGACAACTTCAGAGAACTCAAATGACAGAATTCTCTCTTTTTGCCCTTCAATTCAGAGTGCATCACTTCCACATTTATTTCACATATTCTGCTAAGTCAGCTTAGCTAAAAATGTTTGCAACACCAGTAGCTTTAATGTCTTCTAACTTGGATATTATTTTGAGTATGAAAACTGACTGTTAAATTACAACTGTGAAAGGAAGAGTACTCGTGTCCACTTTCAGATCCTCTGAGTGTAAAATACATGTCAATGTGTGCTGTAGAACGCTAAGCCAAGACAGCCTAATACACTATTAGCTTTCCAGGCTCAGACTTACATTCATTTGTCACCTATTTTGCCTGAGGCCCATGGAATATCTAGAAATGGGTCTTTAGAAAGTTAACATTTTGCTAGGCGCTCCCTCTCTACTCCAACCGTGCTTTCACTTCAGCCACATAATCCCTTCCTACATTTGTCCCATCCTCCCCACCACTTTAAAGCTGCGTCAGAGACGCCTGGTGAGAATGAGCCCTACTCACACTCACACGGTCACCCACCTGGCTCTGGTCCTGATCACAGACTAACACCGGGGAATCAAGACAGGAGAAAGGACAGCCCCATTTTAGTGGCATACGTATACAAAGTAACTCTGCTTTAAATTAGAAAAGAAATTGATGTCACAGAATGTTTCTCTATAAAAGATATGTAATAAAGTAATAATATCAATAAAATAGCTATTACTAAAGCAAAGCTTTCATCAATAAGCTTCAAGAACTTTGAAGGAGGAGAATGGCTTCACGAAATGGTAGTCCAGGTTCCCACAGTGTGGACACTGCTGCACGTTGCTGTACTCAGAGAAGTACTGCATTCCAATCCGCACGTCGATCACAGGCTTCCCACAGTGCTTGCAGTTCAGACGGGCCTGGGAGAAACAGATACTGTGAGCCACCCCTTTGGTTCTACAGCACTTGTCAAAGGCATCCAAACCAAAAGGCTGAGCAGTGCTTGACAGTTCAGACAATCATCCCCCTTATACCAAAAACAGGGCATGCAAAGCCTAAGGTACATATTCAAATAGTCTATCTCATCAGTCTGCAAGATGAATGACTCCAGTTACTCTCTTGATAGAGGCAGTGCTAGTCCTGTCACTCGGCGGGAAGAAAATTCTAACCTAGTACTGCCTAAACCATGCCACCAAAGTTCCCTTAACAGACCATCCACCATTCTGGATTTTAAGAGGATAGTTGAAGCTGGCTTCCTCCACCCATACCAGCATGATACTTCTTTGAAGATTCAGAGTTTATTTCAAAACGTTCATATACATTTTCATTTTACTCGGCATGACAATGTGTTTTCTTTAATATAAAAAAATTTCCTTAAAATGCTAAAGTAAAATTGGCAAGCTAGGCAGAAGCAATGCGTTTATCCTGAGGCTTCTGGACCCCACTACCACATTATCTTTCTTCATGTCAGGTTCCTCCTAGCAGTATAATACTATAGCCTTTCAACAACAGGTTCAAGAGTGACATGAATACAAAGAAATTATAAATAAATAGACACTCAATTTAAATTCCGCCTGAAACCATACTAACAATGTGTATCTCAATTTGTCTTCAAAACATTCCTGTGAAGTGGGTAGCAGTATCTGAATTTCAACTGATGAAACTGGCACTACGGCACAGAAAGAAAACAATTCTGCATATTTAAAAAGTAAAACTTTCTTCTTCCTTTTAAGTCATAACTTTTTATTAGAAATTTACTACATTAATCATACAAAATGAGATAACGTATGCAAACAAAAAGAAAATTAAAGAACTACTCAGCCTGCCACCCTAACCATCTAATCCAACTGTTCATAGGATAGTGAACCCTTTGCACACTCATTTATTCACAAATTGGTATGATGTCATTTTACTTAACAGATGGGAAATACTCCATATATAATGATAAATTATTTTACAATATCCCTTGTAATAACTGCATAGTATTCCATCACAATTTACTAGCTCAGCAATTATTGCTGAAGTTCAGGGGTCTCCCTGAGTTTCTTCTTTTGTGTGTGGTGTGTGTGTGTGTGTGTGTGTGTGTGTGTGTGTGTCAGGGATTGAACTCAGGTCCTTGCACTTGTGAGGTGGACAGCAGAACCACTGAGTTAAATCCTCAGCCCCTGAGTTTCTTCTTGATTCTCAGAAGCATCTTACACAAGTTCTCATACCTCCTTTAAATAACTATGAAGCAGCCTCTAATTCCTCTATAAATTCACTGGGGACTGAAGCCCAATATCACACACTGCTCCTGTGATGGAGTTAATACCAACCTGACAACAGGGAGAGGCGGCCAGGATGTCATAGGTATACATTGTGCCCAGCTGATGCCAGCTGCCATCCCATCGCGACTTACACTTGATGCAGATGATCTTGTGAACTCCTTCTAGGCAGTCCACACACACTGCATACAGATGCATGAGCCTCCCTGTGTACAGAAGACACACAGCTGAGAGTGGCCATCATGGAAATCACATTTTATCTCCACAGCAGATTCTGAAATGCTCAAACTATCAATTACAAGCAAACATTTTATGATTTGGGTAACTATAGAAAGCACAGACACTAGTTAGCACACATCCCCAAGCTAATGATGGATTACTATTATCAACAGTACATGGACTTTGAGTTGAAGCTTATTAAAAAATGTGGGCCAGGGATTGAGCTCAGTGGTTCTGTGCCTGCCTCACAAGCACAGGTCTTGAGTTGGATCCCTGGTAGAAAAAAAGAAAGGGGTGGGGAAGAAATGCTTGTTTCAATTTACTTTACAAAGAGTGCTGCCACGTCTACATTAACATATCCATCTACATTCATATGACAAAGCCACACATGGTCAAAAACAGCCAGTAATCATGCAGGACCCCCTCCCACTCAGAAGTCTGTGTGTGATATACAGAAAGGGAACCAACCACAAGTCTCATCATAAAAAAGTTGAAAGTCTCAGTACTGATAGCCTGGAAGTAGACCATAGCCAAAATTACTATCCTAAATGTTATCCCCAAAATTGTTCAGCATCACATTTAATTTAGTAACCAGAGTTATATCAGGTTATTATTTGTAAGTTGTTTGTTAAAAGTTCATCATCATCTTATTTACCAGGCTCTTAAATGTCACAACCTCATTTCCATTATTTATCAACATCATAACGCTTATAAGGGACAGATGTCATCCTGATTTATATGGAAAGGTCAGGGTGCAAATAACTGAGAATGTCCAGAATCGGCCTAGGCAATGTATAAAAGCAACACTACTGCCTTCTATGTGGGCATAGGGAGCTCCGCTGTGCTAAAAGCAGTCACCAGAACACATGCTCCAGGGCTGGGGATTTAGCTCAGTGGTTCTGCTGCCTGCCTTGCAAGCACAAGGACCCCAGTTTGATCCCCAGGACCAACCCCCCAAAATCAGAACACATGCTCCAAAGTGGCTTTGTGTTCATAAGTCAACAAGTTTTTCACAGTTCAGTGGTAGCCAACCTGCTCCTTATCCACTGGAAAGGGATGGGTTCTCAGAGGAATCCCTTTTGTTATATTTGTATGACTCTCTACATCTCTGAGGGCAGAAACCACATCTTGTCTTTGTACACTCAGTGTTCACACATTTGGAATGTGGAAACACTCCGTTAAGTGTGTGCTGCATGAAAGGGTGGTAGGCTCATAGCCAAAGACATTACAACTCTCAGGGCCTCTACACGGAAAACAGGAACAATGATAAGAACTTCCTGGAGTACTGCTCCCCTCTGCTCTAGGACACTGAAAATATGGTCCCACGTGGTACACACACTATGAGTGGCCCAGTGCCAAGTCAAAAAACCAATCCAGGGCTAGAGATTTAGCTCAGTGGCACCACGCCTGCCTCACAAGCTCAAGATCCTGAGTTTGATCCCCAGTACAAGAAGAAAAACAAAACAAAAACCGGTGTTATTGGGCCAAGGATTCATCTCAGTGGTGCTGCCACCTGCCTCGCAAACACAAGGTCCTGAGTTCGATCCCTGGTACATGCCCCCACCAAAAAAAACCAGTCCAAGTATCCAGAAGCCACTTTCTGGTCTCCCTCCCAGACTTACTCACCAGGTAATCCTCAAGCTTCTCAGATTACAACAAGCTGCTGGGGGGAGGAAGAGCAGCAATGGCGGGCAGGCATTGGTAACAATGACCATGAGGGTGAAGGCAACAAATAACTTTTTACTGAGTGCTCACCAAGGGAATGCACTGTGCTGTTGAGTTCTAGTTGAATCATTTTATTTAATTTTCATCCCAACTCTAGAAAGCTGGCATGATGGTTAGTCCTACTTCAGAATGGGGGAACTAAAGCTTAAGAGTTTGAGCAGCTTGCCCAAGTTGACAAAGAAAATGAGTAGCAAGGTCCAGACTCAAATTCCCATCTGACTTTTAACCTACAGGCAAACTTTTGGAAAGCCTGCCCCATACTGGGTCTCTGGATTTATTTTCAGTTAATATTATATATGGTACTAAATAGAGAGAATTTTGAATTTCTAAACACAGGACAAGATTTTGTTTTTGAGTTCAAATAAAAAGTGGCCTCCTAAGGGGCCTTGCTCAGAATGGGAAAGAAGTTCAATAAAATCTTCCTAATTAGATCAATTTTAATGAATTACTTAAAACATTTTCTCAGAGGAAGTCTCAGAACAGAAGCTGGAGGTGAAATTAGAGGAGGTCACAGAAGGGTAAAGGGCAGGGAAAGGAATCCGGCACTGACAACAGACAGCATTTTACAACATACAATTAACTGCAAACTGGAATCATGTGGCCTGGAATGTCGCCTTCCTAATGGAGTTGAAAATGCTTTAAAGAAGGCACGGCTGCGTCTCTGAGATGGAAAAAATGATTTGCACAAGCTTGCTATAAATACGATCACCCAGTCTTCTGTGAGATGCAGCAATAAAAACACCATTATGTGGCCAGGCCCTCACCTTACCTAGTTGTGAATGTTTACGTATTCAGATATGTGCACAAATACAAGTATCTTGGGCCTAATTTTTACCTCTTTCTTTATCCATTCCTTGACAGGTATCCTCGAGATTTAGTCTGGCATTCTGTCATATCTATTTTTGCTTTCTATTTTCTCCCTTTCCACTTTTATGTAACCATCACCATAATAAAACAAACTATCCAATGTTCATTCCAACTGCTTATTTCTAACAGTGTTTCTGACATTTCCAAACAAGTCTCAACACCTCTTCTAACCCAGCACACACACAAGTCATCATGTTTCCCCCTAAAATCAGGTCCTTTGCCCAAACTTCTTTAATCCTGTCTGTGATACCACCACTCATCTAGTCTGATGCCAAGTTCACCAACAGAGACTCTGCATCCTCAGCATCAAGGAGTCTCCAAATCTGTCATCTTCCTTTAAAATAATCTACTGCGCACATCCCAGCCTTTCAATTCCCTCTGTCACTATGCAGCAGTCTCTCTGGTTCTTTCACGCAGACTATCTGAAGTTTCAACTCTGTTTCTAGGTCCCAACTGTTTCTAACAACTTTTGGGGAACATGGCTGTGTGCTTTTAAAGTATTTAAAACCCTTTAATTCATATTCAGAAGGAACGTGGCAAAGACTACACTCCATGAATGGCTCTGTTCCTACCTCCTAATCATAACCTGTCCTTTTTCTTTCAACCACCATTCCTTTATGTAAGCTGCTCCATTATTTCACAACTAAGAGCCAGCATGGCTGGACCCTCTTGCTTTTCAAAATCCAGCCTACCACTGGGCGTGGTGGCACATGCCTATAATCCCAGCACTCAGAAGGCTGAAGCAGGAGGATCGCTGTGAGTTCGAGACCAGCCTGGGCTACAAAGTGAGTTCCAGGTCAGTCTCAACTATGTAGTGAGACTCTGTCTCAACCCCCCCCACCCCAAAAAAATCCAACCTACCTTATGATATATGCCTGCTCTGACCAACCAAGCCAAAGTGGACCCTTTCTCCTCGGAAATTAATATATATAATATCCACATTACTGATTCCACATGTGCTACTACATGCAGCCTTAGGCCTGATAAAATTAGTCACATTCTATAAAAGCATCTTCTGCCCTAAAACTATAAGCTGAGGACAGGCAAGAACTGACATAATCTGTAAGACTAACAAATGGACTATGTCAAAGAAACTGTCCATCATAATTAGAAAAAGAACACTACTCTCAAATACCCTATCCATGGATCCTCATTCATCCTCACAACCTGAGTTTTTAGATAGAGAAGTAAAACTATTTCCACTCACTTCCTTCTAAAATTACCAATGAACAGGATAAAGAACACAAAATACAAACTCCATATTCCATGAAACAACTGAAGCACCTGCAACCCTAAACCAAAATACAAGGTGAAAAAGTAGATGCAGTAGTTTAGCACTGAAATTGTAAAAAAACTGTGGGCAGGATGGACTGTGGTGTTGAAAAGGAAACAGTGGGTGCAGCAAGTTATAAACAACCAGCAGGTTTAGGTGCCTCTTTCATCAAAATGTAGAGTACAGGAGCGCCCTTGGGACCTGGGCCTCAGCTGATGAACCCCTCAGAGGAGTAATGGGAAAGTCTTGGCTTAAGCCTCCAGAGAGACCCCTGCAGCTTCCACTCTACCCTGGAAACTGTTCAAGAATGTTAACATGAGAAAGCCCAAGAACCCTCACAAACTACCGGGAGAATGTAAATTAGTACAGCCACTGTGGAAGAGTAAAGAGGCACCTCAAAAAATTAAAATTGCACTGATTACCTGATAATGATAAAAGATCCAATACTCTATATTAAAAAAAATTAAAATTAGACCACACAAACTAGCAATCCCACTCCCAGGAATATATCCAAAAGAACTGAAATCGGTGTGTCAAAGAGGTATCTGCACACCTCTGTTCACTGCAAGATTCTTCACAACAGTTAAGATATATAATCAACCTAAGTGTCCACCAACAGATGAATGGATAAAGAAAATGTGTTACATTTCCATACACAATGCAATATGATTCCTCCATAAGGAAGGATGAAATACTGTCATTCATGGCAATATGGATGAACCTGGAGGACATGATATTAAGTGAAATAAGCCAGATACAGAAAGGCAAATACCATATCATCATTCATTTGGGCAATCTAAAAAAAGCTGATTTCATTGACGTGCAGTGTAGCACCGTGGTTATCCCAGGCTGGGAAGGGGAGAAGCAAAGCGGGTGGAAGACTGGTTTATAGATAGAAAATTACAGTTAGATAGCAAGGGTTCCAGTGTTCTATTCATACAGCAGAATGACTATAGTTAATAATATCACATAGTATAGTACTTTTTAAATAACTAGAAGAGATGATTTTGAATGTTTATTCCATGACAAAATGATAAATGCAAAAGGTGACAGATATTCTAAAATACCCTGGTCTGATCATTACACAATGTATATATGTATCAAGATATCATACTGTACCCT